ATTTTCCGAAAAATCTTGCTTTCACTGTAGTTTTTATTTTAATAAGAAAATTCCAAAATATTCTTTAATAAAAAAAGAGTTTTCTTTAAAATTATATTAGGTGAAATTTGAAACGCCTTTCATAATTAATTTAGTAATATAGCCAAGAATTGATAGCAAACTTTTTAACCCTGTGAATCAACTCCGATAGGGAAGTTCCAAACAAATGTTTTCAAAATTGAATTTAAGATAATAAATATTTAAGCATTTCAATTTAACTTGTTAAAAACATTTATCAAAATCTGATAATGTGTGTTCTCAAAAGCTGTATTGAAATAACTGAAGAGATGAGTGACTCCAAAAGTTCAATTTCCTCATCGACTATCTGTTTTCCTTGTATTCATTCGTCGCCTTACTGGCGCCTGGTGGTTATCATTCGTCCCGACGAAATTCGGTAATAATAGTTTCAGCGATTCTTTATTTCCTGTGCAGTTTTTATTTGGATAAAATACGTAAATTGTTTTGTTAAACTCAGGTATTTTATATAAATACAAAAACAATCAATAAAACGTTAATATGAAAAAATTTCAAACAGAATTTTATTTGAATCAATTTTCTCTTTGGATCAAAATGAAATGGTTTTGCTAAAATATTAGAATAAAGTATAGAGAATTATAAACGTAAAATACATTTCTGTTCATGCAAATGAGAAAATAATGACATTGTGACAGCTAGCAAAAAGGACTATTGGTCTAGATTACCCCGGTTATTGACTTAGTTTTCCTATTCGCATACATTAAGATAGAAACTGTACAGTAAGCACATTTTACAGNATTGAGAAGAAATAAAAATTATTTAAGATTTATTGCGTTTATTTTTAAAACTACAGATTCTTTTAAAGCAATTTTCATTAACGAAAATCTGGCATTTAATAATTTTTAGACCCTCATTTAAACGTACACCCTGTATAGCATGTTTCTCATAGAATTATAGCAGATTTGTTTTCAAGTTCAACCATCAACTCAATGGTTTCTCTTCAAGGTTATTTCAGTTTTTCTTTTTGGGGGTTAATTCCCGCCGTGTTCTTTTTAATGCAAAAATTTAATATAAAATCAAATAATTACTGTTTTAATGTTTTCATTTTATATAAGTAATATTTAGTGATCATAAACGAACTAGTGTCATCATTTTTATAGATTAATTTCCTTCTGGCACTTCACAGTAAGAAGACTAACCTCAAATTTTAAACTCTGCAAGGAATCATGCCGAAACGAAGACGAAGTTCTACAGCAAGTATTTCTTCTAAACGGCCAAAATGTACTGTTTACTTATCCCATTTTCGGTTTGTATTTTAATACCTGTGTTTTAGTTATTGACCATGTTAGTCTGCCAAGTTTAACCAAGGTTGGTAAAGTCCTAGCTACAGGAGCTGGGGATTTTGGACAATTAGGTTTAGGAAGTGATATTTTGGAGAAAAGCAGACCGGCTGTAGTGCCTATTACTCATGAAATTGTTGATATTTGTGCTGGTGGAATGCACACTGTGTGTTTAACAAAAGACGGGAAGGTATATTTTACTAATGCATTTGTAACTTTTTTAGTCAATAAACAGAAAATTCTGTAGGTTTTGACATTTGGTTGCAATGATGAAGGAGCACTTGGAAGGGAAACAGCTGATAAAGAGGATGCTGAATTTATTCCTGGAGAAGTTAATCTTCCTGATCGAGTCAAGCAAGTTTCTGCAGGTGATTCACATACAGTAGCACTACTTGAAGATGGAAGAGTATTTGCATGGGGAACTTTTAGGGTACATTTTAAGTGATTTTTTAAAAATTTAAAATGAAACTGAAATTCTAAAATTTTTAGGATTCACATGGAAACATGGGTCTAACATTAAAAGGAAATGAAAAATTACCCTATGAAATCCTCCCTCACCACATTGTTATCAAAATAGCCTCTGGAGCAGATCACATAGTTTTCTTGACTCAATTTGGTGAGGTTTATACATGTGGTTGTCCAGAACAGGGCCAATTGGGAAGGACAAGTGAAAGGGGAAGTGATCGAAATTGTAGGACAGGCTTTTGTNCTTCATGTAAATCTTCAAATTTGTTACGTGCTAAGAATAATGACCTCAGTTCTGAACATTTTATCAGTGTCTTAGGTAAACAATACAAATCAAAATCTTTGCTTTTAGCAAAATTTCTTCAGCCAGCAATTATTAATGTCAAGCCAAGCTTGAAATTGAAGTTTGATAACATTTGGGCTGGAACATATAGCACATTTGCTAAAGTTGAGCAAAAAAACGATATTTATGTATTTGGTCTTAATAATTACAATCAGATAGGTAGGACATTTAATATTCAATATAAATGGCGATACAAAATAATGTCTTTATAGGTCTAAAATCTCAAAATGCAGTCTTTAGTCCTAAGCTATCAAAAGAATTTTCAAAATTCAAATGGAATATAATTTGTTGTGCTCAACATCATACAATAGCCCTTGATGAAGATGGAAAGACTTATGCTATTGGGAGAAAAGAATATGGAAGGTTAGGACTTGGAAAGGATTGTGATGATGCTACAGAATTGACTGAAATTCCTTTTCTTAAAAATAAGAAAGTTGTCAACATTGCATGTGGCTCTGCAACTTCTTTTGCTGTACTTGATGTTGGTATGTTTCAAAAGAAATTTGTTTTTATACAAAGGTCAATGTAGGTGGAATTTGGGTGATCTATTCTTGTACATATAGCTCTCATATTTTTTTTTTGAAAGCTAATGTTATTGGTATTCATTCTCAAAATATTAGACAAGAAGTTATACTGATTAACAAGTATACATACAATTTTGAGATCATAATCACAATATTTACAATTTTGATTATGTAGGTGAGTTATATGGATGGGGTATGGGAACTGTTGGCCAATTGGGCACTGGTGAAGAAGAGGACTGTTATGAACCGACCCTTATTAAAAGCAAGCAGCTCGCTGGTAAACACGTGTTTAGGGTGAGCAGTGGAGGACAACACACTATAATATTAGCTTCAGAAGCAAATGGAAACAACAATCAACCACAACCAGAAAATGAACAGTTACAAGATGGAGACGAGGGCGATTCTGTGTCTGCAGGCGCGTAATATTTATTTTTTTCAAATAAACTTATTTTTGTTTGTATGATATGTTTGAATGGTGAATACAGTGAAGATATGGTCATTAACGTGGTAACTGTTGATTATAACTTCCTTTACACAAGTCTTATTGTAAATAACCAAAATTAGGGTAAAATAGACAATTTCATTTATAGCATTCTCTCATTTTATGTTTTAGAAATTATGATTGTGTCCAAGACACAATTTTTGTCAAAAAGCAATAACACTGTTTACTTGAAAACGTAATTAGTATGTTAATGTTTTGTTTTCTGCCAATGTAGGTAATTAAAAATTAATACATTTCATTTTAATTATCATACTTCAACATCGTCATTCAAATAAGTATTAATCATTAATACTATGGAATTAAAGTTCTTCCTAATTGTTTTAAACACCAGGTTAAAATGACTTAATTAAATTTATTTTAGTTTAAAACCTTCGTATCTATTTCAGATATTAGTAGTATTTACTTATTTGTTTATATTTCATCAAAATTAATTTCATCCGATCTTTTAAATGCAACTGGGTGTAGTTGTATTTGCATTTGTTTTGTGTTTTATGAAATAAAAATTAAAATTGTGAATAACTGTTTTACTAGTTCAAAAAGGTGAGGAAATACTATCATAAAAAGTGTTTGAAATTGCAAGTACTTGCCCATTTTCCCTATCTTTTGTCTACACAGATAAAAGTACACATTTTAAAAGGAAAATAGCATTTTATTATGATACCGTTATAATAATTTTTATCAATATGTTAAAAGAAATTTCGAGATTTTTGGGAAATATTCACCAAAAATTTCGTCCTCATCCATATCTGAATCAGTAGTTATAATATCAATTTCAGAACTATCCATGCTTGTCTCCCATTCTTCTGAACTTGAATCAGAATTATCATTATTTGGTGTTTGCTGCCATTCTGTACCAGGTAACTCTAAATTACTGAATTCCTAAAAAATTTTAATTATAGATATGTCTACATGCATTAAAAATTCTAATAGAATATCTGATTAGTTTTAAAAATGAGGTTTTATAAAGTAATTGGTACAAAAATTAAAAAAAAAATAAAAGGAAAAAATCCCCATTAAATATTTAATGAAGTACAACTAAGTAAATCGTAAATATAATGTGTTAAAAAACAATATCTTTTGTACTTATTTTACCTTTTGTATTAATTCAGTAACAGTAATTGGATTTTTCAGCAGGGAAATTCTTTGTATATGCCTTAAATCTTCAAATATATTTGAAATGAATGAGGCAATTTTATTATCATTTAAATAAAGAAATCGAAGTTGTTTCAATTTACAAAATTCACTTGGTATGTGACTAAAATTGTTATTGTTCAAGTTTAGATGAACTAATGATTCTAATGCACCAAACTTTTCTGGGACATCAGTTATTTTATTATTTTCTAATGTAAGCCATCTGAAATTAGAACAATGGATATTATATGTCACCCATATATAAATCATACTTACCTCAACTTTTTCAAGTTACAAATAGCTTCAGGTAACTCATATATTTCATTGCTACGAGCTCCTAAAGTATGTAGATTGTGCAAAGAACCAATCTCGTCAGGTAATTTTTTTAGAAGACAGCCATTACACCATAACGTTTCTATTTCAGTTAAGCATGCTAAATCGCCGGATAAGCATTTAATTGGATTATGGCTAATGTTTAAAGATTTTAAATGTACAAGTTCTCTAATTGATTTTGGGAATTCTTGAATATTATTATAATCAACTGCGAGTACAGTTAAATTTTTTAACTTTGTAATATCTTCATGTAAATCTTCAAATTTGTTACGTGCTAAGAATAATGACCTCAGTTCTGAACATTTTATCAGTGTCTTAGGTAAACAATACAAATCAAAATCTTCTAAATATAAATAAGGAGATTTTGTTACATGAGCATTTTCAATTTTAGCCAAGGCATGATTACGTTGAAAGAAGTCGTAAAAGGGGTTCATTTCATTAAATCAGAATGTTACCTATGATTTTCCTTGAATCCTATAAAAATTATCTTGTAATTCATCTCAAAAGATGGTTTGAAAGGGCAGATTAAAGTTCTTTTTATCTTATTGGAACAAAATAGCCTGTTAAAATAATCCACAAAAACTGATAAAGTTCATTTTTAAATATGTGCAGTATAGAAACAAATATTGTAGGTATTTAAATAAATTACACTTCAATGACGTTCATACGCCACTACTACTAATTACTAATTATAACAAAGTACAAGGTTCATTCATAACTGTCCTTTGCATTATACAAGGTTTGCTCAACAAATACATGCCTTTCCCCCATTACTGTTAAAACGAAAAGTTTTTCAAATATGTATTGTTTGGGCGTGATGAAGATGGAAAGACTTATGCTATTGGGAGAAAAGAATATGGAAGGTTAGGACTTGGAAAGGATTGTGATGATGCTACAGAATTGACTGAAATTCCTTTTCTTAAAAATAAGAAAGTTGTCAACATTGCATGTGGCTCTGCAACTTCTTTTGCTGTACTTGATGTTGGTATGTTTCAAAAGAAATTTGTTTTTATACAAAGGTCAATGTAGGTGGAATTTGGGTGATCTATTCTTGTACATATAGCTCTCATATTTTTTTTTTGAAAGCTAATGTTATTGGTATTCATTCTCAAAATATTAGACAAGAAGTTATACTGATTAACAAGTATACATACAATTTTGAGATCATAATCACAATATTTACAATTTTGATTATGTAGGTGAGTTATATGGATGGGGTATGGGAACTGTTGGCCAATTGGGCACTGGTGAAGAAGAGGACTGTTATGAACCGACCCTTATTAAAAGCAAGCAGCTCGCTGGTAAACACGTGTTTAGGGTGAGCAGTGGAGGACAACACACTATAATATTAGCTTCAGAAGCAAATGGAAACAACAATCAACCACAACCAGAAAATGAACAGTTACAAGATGGAGACGAGGGCGATTCTGTGTCTGCAGGCGCGTAATATTTATTTTTTTCAAATAAACTTATTTTTGTTTGTATGATATGTTTGAATGGTGAATACAGTGAAGATATGGTCATTAACGTGGTAACTGTTGATTATAACTTCCTTTACACAAGTCTTATTGTAAATAACCAAAATTAGGGTAAAATAGACAATTTCATTTATAGCATTCTCTCATTTTATGTTTTAGAAATTATGATTGTGTCCAAGACACAATTTTTGTCAAAAAGCAATAACACTGTTTACTTGAAAACGTAATTAGTATGTTAATGTTTTGTTTTCTGCCAATGTAGGTAATTAAAAATTAATACATTTCATTTTAATTATCATACTTCAACATCGTCATTCAAATAAGTATTAATCATTAATACTATGGAATTAAAGTTCTTCCTAATTGTTTTAAACACCAGGTTAAAATGACTTAATTAAATTTATTTTAGTTTAAAACCTTCGTATCTATTTCAGATATTAGTAGTATTTACTTATTTGTTTATATTTCATCAAAATTAATTTCATCCGATCTTTTAAATGCAACTGGGTGTAGTTGTATTTGCATTTGTTTTGTGTTTTATGAAATAAAAATTAAAATTGTGAATAACTGTTTTACTAGTTCAAAAAGGTGAGGAAATACTATCATAAAAAGTGTTTGAAATTGCAAGTACTTGCCCATTTTCCCTATCTTTTGTCTACACAGATAAAAGTACACATTTTAAAAGGAAAATAGCATTTTATTATGATACCGTTATAATAATTTTTATCAATATGTTAAAAGAAATTTCGAGATTTTTGGGAAATATTCACCAAAAATTTCGTCCTCATCCATATCTGAATCAGTAGTTATAATATCAATTTCAGAACTATCCATGCTTGTCTCCCATTCTTCTGAACTTGAATCAGAATTATCATTATTTGGTGTTTGCTGCCATTCTGTACCAGGTAACTCTAAATTACTGAATTCCTAAAAAATTTTAATTATAGATGTGTCTACATGCATTAAAAATTCTANGAATACAAGATAACAAATAAAATAATTAAGTTAAATTTCACATACATTGAATTTATTCCGTGTATTCATGGTTTATTCCATGTTTATTCTTGTTGTTTCAAAAAAATAATAGGTTAAGTTCCTTCACTCATAGATGTATAAGGTAAATGGTAGCAGTCAAATAAAAAGAATAAATTAAAAAATATGTATTTACAATCTTAACGAAGGGAGTAAAGTTATGATGTAAAATTCAGCAATTCTTGTTTTACTTTGTTACGGATTAATAAAATATTAATAATTAACGAAAGATTTCATTTGAATCAGTCATGTAAGTAAGCAGATCAGCAATTAATATTATTGCAAGATCTATGAACATGATCAACAATTTAATAAAAATAAATGCTTATCTGTGAATAAATGCCATAACCTGTGAAATTAAGAAGGTTGTTTTTAATTAAGTTATAACAATAATATGTAAAATTCCTTAAAAAATTGTGGATGTAAAGGTGATTCCTATTATGGATGTTGCAAATTTAATGCAATCTTTGTCAATTGAAGATAATCATCATTTTAAATCTAATTTTAAAGTGGGAGCAATAAATGTTGGTGGGCATAATACTGAGCTTGTTTTCGGGGAATTCGTTAATAAATTTATGATAATTACCACTCAGTTTGAGAAACTTGGCAGTCTTTTACGAGTAACTGTGGATCAACAAGTAAACGGAGCAAACACTTTGGAACCAGTTTATACTGTTAGTGTTGTATTTGGTGCAGAAAATACAGAACAACAAGCAGCAGCCAGGTTTATTGCTGGTAGTCTACAGATTAAGAAGCCCCTCTTGATTTTTCTTTGCCTAAAAGATTACTCAGCTGAAGTAGTTCGAGGTATAGCTGTAGCACTTTTAGATTTGATTAAAAATTGAAGAAAGTTAAACATGTCTCTTGCAAAGCGTGCAAAAAAAGCAGAGGCTTATTTTGGTCAGTTAGTTATAGGACCACCAGGGTCAGGAAAAACTACTTACTGTGCAAAAATTCAGGAATTTTATAAAGACAAGCTTAACAGAGAATGTGATGTTATAAATTTGGATCCTGCTAATGATAACATGACATATAAACCTGCTGTTGATATAATTGAACTCATTTCTGTTGAAGAAGTTATGAATTCATTTAAACTTGGGCCGAATGGAGCACTTATGTATTGTATGGAATATTTAGAGCAAAACTTTGACTGGCTTCTAGATAAACTTAAGACCATAAATAATAGTTACTTAATTTTTGATATACCTGGGCAGGTAGAACTTTATACACATCACACATCTATAAAGAACATTTTTGCAAAGCTGCAAAATTTATCTTATCATTTATGTGTTGTGCACATGGTTGATTGTCATTACTGTTCAAATCCAACAAAATTTATATCTACATTGCTAATGTCATTGTCCACAATGCTTCAGATTGGCTTACCACATGTTAATGTTTTAAGTAAGGTATGTTTTTGATGTAGAATAAGCAAGCTCTTAATTAATTATTTTATTAAAGTGTATTAACTTAAAACTTATTTCAGGCTGACTTATTAAAACAGAATTCCACAAAGTTAGATTTTGGTCTTGATTTCTATACGGATGTACTAGATTTGGAATATTTATTAGAACTTCTTGATGACGGACCTTTTACATCAAAATTTAAAAAATTAAATGCAGCTTTAGTTGATTTAATACAAAGCTACAGTTTGGTTTGCTTTATTCCTGTTAATGTTAATTCTGAAAGGAGTTTGCTAACTTTAAAGAGTGCTGTTGATAAGGTAAACCTTTTATGATTAGAAAATGAAATGATTCCCATCTTTATTTAATTTTAGGCGAATGGTTACATATTTGGAAGTGGTGAAGAAAGAACAATTCAGTCATTATTGTCATGTGCTGTGGGAGCACGAACAGAAACAGAAAGATTTGATTCTGATTTTTCATTTTAATGTTAAATAAATATGCTTATGATAAATCATCTGCATTTTCACTTTATATTATATATATAATTTA